CCACCATGTGACCTAGCAATCCCACGTTGGGGTATACATTCAAAGGAAAGAAAAATAGGATTTTGAAGAGTTATCTGCACTCCCATGTTTACTGCAGCACTAATTCACAATAGCAAAGACATAAAAAACAACCGAAGTGTCCATTAATGGATGAATGATGGATGAATGGATAAAGAATATGTCACACACACACACACACACACACACACACACACACACAGGAATATTATTGAACCAAGGGAAAGAAGGAAATCCTGCCATTTGCAATAACATGGGTGGATCTCGGGGCACTATGCTTAGTGAAATAAGCCAGCCTGAGAAAGACAAATATTGTATATTATTTATATATGGAATCTAAAAATGCCAAACTCGTAGAAACAGAGAGGAGAATGATGGTTACCAAGGGATGGGGGTTGGAGAAATTGGGGAGATGTTGTTAAGGGTACAAACTTGCAAAGAGAAGGTGAATATGTTCTGGAGATCTAATGCACAGCCCACTCATTATAATCAACAACACTGTATTATAGACTTCAAAATTGCTAAGAGACTAGATAGTAGGTGTTCCTCACCACAGAAAGTAATTTATGTGATAGAGATTAGCCACAGCTAAGGTGGTAATCACTGCAATATATAAATGTATCAAATCAACATGTTGTACCCCTTAAACTCACAGGATTTTGTATGTAAATTATATCTCAATAATGAAAAAAGAGGAGCAGAGTGAGGGGATGGTCAGTGCATGGAAAATTACTAGGAAGTGAAACCAAGGGAAGGGAATCTTGCTAAACTGGCCTAAAGCATCTCTGTAAAGGGCAGGCCAAAGATTTACACATCAAACGTAGGGGATGAGGAACTTTGGTCAGCTATCAAGGGTGATCAGATATCAAGGGTAGGGGATTGACTTAACAGGATTCTTTGCTAAAACGGGCTTAGGCAGGCCAAGGACAGGGCCCAAGGATGAAGCCTGGTCAAACAGAGGGCTCAGAGGAGCCTGTGTAACCTTTGGTCAAGCATAGTCTTTGTCACGTAAGACTTGTACACGGCAAACTACAGAACATCTTTTAAAAAAAAAAACTTCAAGAAGACCTACATAAATGAAAAGGCATCTCATGTTCATGGATCAGAAGTTTAATATCCTGAAGCTGGCAATATTACCCAAATTGCCCTATAGATTCAACACGAGCCCTATCAAAATCCCAGCTATTTTGGCTTCAGAAACTGACAAGCCTACCTTAAAATTCTCATGGAAATGATACTCAGGATAGCCAAAGCGATCTTCAAAAAGAACAAAGTTGGAAGACTCATACTTCCTGATTTTAAAACTTACTACAAATCTACAATAATCATGACAGTGTGGTACTGGCCTAAGAATAGACACATAGTATTGGCACAGAACCAAGAGTCCAGAAAAACCATACATTTTGGCAAGGATGTGAAGAAACTGGAATCTGCATGCATTGCTACTGGGAATGGACAATGGGGCAGCTACTTTAGGCAGGTCTGGCCTTACTCAACATGTGAAACATGCCATGGGAGGGGGGCGGGGGCTCGGTGGAGGTGGGCAAAGGGGGGGAATGGGAGACATCTGTAATAGTGTCAACTATAAACAAATTTAAGAATTAAATAAAGAAAAAAATGTTAAACATGGAGGCCCCATGAAACCTAGTAATTCCACTCCTAGGTATATACCCAAGAGAAATGAAAATATATGCTCACACAAGAACTTGTATACTAATGTTCATAGAAGCACTATTCATAACCAAAAAGCATAAACCACCCAAATGTCCATCAACTAATAGATAAATAAAATGTATCAATACAATGGAATATTCAGCCATAACAAGGAATGAAGTACTGATGCATGCTAACCTCAGAATCATCATGGTAAGTGAAAAGAGCCAAGATACAAAAGACCACATGTTACATGATTCCATTTATATGAAATGTCCAGAAAAGGCAAATCTATATAGACCAGCGGTTCTCAACCTGTGGGTCGCAACCCCTTTGGGGGTCGAATGACCCTTTCACAGGGGTTGCCTAAGACCACCAGAAAACACATATATAATTACATATTGTTTTTGTGATTAATCACTATGCTTTAATAATGTTCAATTTGTAACAATGAAAATACATCCTGCATATCAGATATTTACATGACGATTCATAACAGTAGCAAAATTACAGTTATGAAGTAGCAACGAAAATAATTTTATGGTTGGGGGTCACCACAACATGAGGAACTGTATTAAAGGGTCGCGGCATTAGGAAGGTTGAGAACCACTGATATAGACAGACAGGAGGTTAACTGCTGCTTAGGACTGGAGTTTGAGGGGACTGTAAGTGGGTATAGGATTTCTTTTGGGGGGGGTGATGAAAATGTTCTAAAATTGATTGTGGTGATGGTTGCACAACTCTGATTATAGTAAAAACCATTGGACTGAATACTTTAAATGGGTGAATCATATGGTATGTGAATTGTATCTCAATGGAGCTGTTAAAAAATCAAAGGAAAATGTTTAGAAATGGTTTTGCTACATTTTTAATTTGTTGTTTCTGTTATTCTAAAAATAAACATTTAAAAGGAGTTGATTAAAAAGCTTCATTTTCTAGAAACATGCATCTGTAATCTATATATATAAAACCCTAAGCGACCTGTCAACCATTCGACCAGTTGATCATTTGACCGGTCGCTATAACGTGCACTGACCACCAGGGGACAAATGCTCAACGCAGGAGCTGCCTCCTGGTGGTCAGTGCACTCCCACAGCGGGTGTGGCTGCAGTGGTGTGAGTGTCTCCCGCCTCCGCAGCAGTGCTAATGAGCTGCGATGGCTGCAGGCACGGGGGGGCTGGGATGAGCAGGAGTGGCGCAGCGCCTGGCTCGGGCTGGGGCTCCTCCCTGGCCGCCTGCCACTTCACGCACTACTACATCCCTCGGGGGATGTTGGACTGCCCACATCCGACAGTCTGACATCCCTCGAGGAGTCCTGGACTGCAAGAGGGCACAGACCCCACTGGTGCACGAATGCATGCACTGGGCCTCTAGTAAATAATATTATAGTAGTTGGCTGCTTCCACTTTCAGGTAAAATAAATACATTCATTGACCAAAAAAAAAAGAGGAACAAGAGGAAGCTATTTTTTCAAAAGATTATCTAGACTGCATCTAGACATATAATTAAAACTAAAATCAATGAAAGGACATCACTTCAAATACCCAAGAGACATACACATCCAGAACCGCAAAAAATGTTTCTGCCTTTTGATTATTAATCCCATTCCTGGGAATTGAGCTTAAGAAAATCATAATAGCCACAAAACCATTTCTAACAGAACTATTATAACACAAACATCTAAATCAGTGCTACCTAAGACTGTCTGCTACTGCTTTAAGTCTCTAAGCAAACTGTTCAGTCCCACTGAGATTTTCACAGTGACACGTTCTCAGTAAAGGGAGTACATCACTGACTTAAAGACCAACGTGTAAAAAATAAAGACATGACTGGTAACCTATGATATAACTCAATGAAATACTGTATGAACATAAAATAGACTAACAACAGCCAACAGTCATTCAGCTCTCGCTATGTGCCCAGAACTGTACAAAGTGACTTACATACATTACCTCTTTTTTTCCAGGTATCCTTAGGTTCTATTATCTTTTTTTTTCAGATTAGTAAATAAAGCTCAGAGAGGTTAAAGGACTGATCGAGGACTAACAGCAAGTAGGATGTGAAATCAGGCATGTATGACTCCAAATCTTGATCACTATATTATACTGCCTCCATGAAATGGAATACAAACTGTGATTACAACTAAGTATACACGTGGATAAAAAGTTAAAGGAAGAAAAATGGAAAGAAATCTTAGGATGGTGAGACCAAGAATAAATTTTTATTTTTATTTTTTATTTTTTTAAAATTTATTTTTATTGATTTTTTACAGAGAGGGAGGGAGAGAGATAGAGAGTTAGAAACATCGATGAGAGAGAAACATCGATCAGCTGCCTCCCTGCACATCCCCTACTGGGGATGTGCCCGTAACCCAGGTACATGCCCTTGACCGGAATCGAACCTGGGACCTTTGAGTCCGCAGGCCGACGCTCTATCCACTGAGCCAAACTGGTTTCGGCAAGAATAAATTTTTAAATGCCTTTTTTTGCTCAGCCAGTGTGGCTCAGTGGTTGAGCGTTGACCTATGAACCAGGAGGTCATGGTTCGGCTCCCGGTCAGGGCACATGCCTGGGTTTGGGGCTCAATCCCGTGGGGGGCATGCAGGAGGCAGCTGATCAATGATTCTCTCTCATCATTGATGTTCCTATCTCTCTCTCTCTCTCTCTCTCTCTTTCTCTCTCCCTTCCTCTCTGAAATCAATAAAAAATATATTTTTTTAAAAAGCTACAAACCTTCTATGGAGGTTAAATAGTTATACTTTAAAGTATCTACTGATAATATCAGCTATCTGGGTATCTCCAGTCAAAACTGATTAAATTATGCTAAATCCTTGAACTGTTGTGGGGGTGTAGGAAATTAGTCTTGCTAAGCAAACTAACAAATTTATAGAACAATCATAACTACTAAAAAGAAACCATTCAAACAGTAGACAGTATCATAGGCAAGTAATCTCTGTATCTCAGCTGACAATTAGCTTCCAGTAGTAAGAATAAGGAAGTTTCGCCGAAACCGGTTTGGCTCAGTGGATAGAGCGCCAGGCTGCGGACTGAAGGGTCCCAGGTTCGATTCCGGTCAAGGGCATGTACCTGGGTTGCGGGCACATTCCCAGTAGGGAGTGTGCAGGAGGCAGCTGATCGATGTTTCTCTCTCATCGATGTTTCTAACTCTCTATCTCTCTCCCTTCCTCTCTGTAAAAAATCAATAAAATATATTAAAAAAAAAAAGAATAAGGAAGTTTGGTTTCAGTCTCTCTAGAATTATTTGACCCTAATCAAGTAATCTATTATCATTTTTGCCCACATTCATGTGGACTGTGTCATGAAACATACCTATGTTTCTGACCATGATTCCTTTCAGCTCATCCACTTGGGCTTGGGTCTCCATCACTTTGTCTAGGCCCTTGTTTTCAGAATGATGCTTCTATAAGAAAATAATATTGAACTTACAGTACCCAGACATTTTTTATAATAGGAAAACAAAAAGAAGAGGAATGACAATGAGAGTACTATAAAATTATGTGTCTATTGATATAAAAAAACATGTCAATTCATTTAAACATTGTTACCAGACCTAGGAAAAATCCTATATAATAAAAGGCTAATATGCAAATTGTTCCCTTGACCAGGAGTTCCACTAGGCATTCAACCAGGGGGAATTCCAACAGGGGGCGGGGCCAGCCAGCCAACTGCTCACGGCCCCTCCCCCCGGTCGGCCCCACCCCCAATTGGCCCCCCCAACCCCAATCAGGGCGGGCCAGCTGGACCCTACCCATGCATGAATTCATGCACCAGGCCTCTAGTATAAACATAAAAATGCTACCAAATGAAATATGTGTTATAGTATAAAAATGCCACCTTACTTTAAATGAATTAAAGCTAAATGTATTATATCAAATATACATCTGAGACTCTTGGAACAGAAGTAGGGGGTTCAGACTAGGAAGAAAGAAGAACAGAAGACTATAGTTGAGGCAAGGGGGACAGGACAGGGAAAGGGTACACTAAATTGTTCCCCACTACTTGGGTATGATGAGATAGGAGATGGCCCAGCTTCTAGGCATCTGTTCTTATACTGTTGGGATCAAGTTATGCATCCTATTTTGATTGGCTTTTTATAGGAGCTAGAAATGTAAGATACTGATAACAGTATATATTTTGAAATTATTATCCATAGCTAACAATTATTGAGTGCTTGATATACAATATTCCAGTCACTTAACTGTGCTAAATGCTGAAATTAGGGGGTATTATTTAATTTGCTCAAAAACTATGATGAAGACGCTATCATTATTATAGCCATTTACAGGTAACTATTCAGAGGGTCACACACAGAACTGGAGCTAATGACAACCACCTAAGTTGAAAGTTTGCTGCCAGCTTCCCTTGTTTACTTTTGTCTGTGCATTAATGTTTTCTGTTGGTGACATTTTACATAGTTTCACATATATGAATGTTTCCTAGTGGGAAGTCTAAAACAAATCAACTGATTGAATAATAAAGATTTATAACTATTTAAAGGAACTTCATCCCTAGAACAATGCATATTTAGAAGTATAATACTCAAAAAGAGCATTAAAGCCTGGCTGGCGTGGCTCAGTGGCTGAGCATCGACCTATGAACCAGGAGTCCTTGGTCAGTCCCCAGTAAGGGCACATGCCCGGGTTGTGGGCTCGATCCCCAATGTGGGCAGTGTAGGAGGCGGCCAATCAGTGATTCTCTCTCATCATTGATGTTTCTCTCTCTCTCTTCCTCTATAAAATCAATAAAAAAATATTTTTAAAAGCCTCACATTGAGCAAAACAAAAAAAAAAAAAGAGTACATAATATATTGTTCCATGTATAGGAAATTCTAGAAAAGACAAAACTATAGTGAAAGAAAATAGAGCAGTGTTGCCTGAGGCAGAGTGAGGGAAAGGACTGAGTGCAAAGGATGGTGAGGGAACTTTTAGATGTTTTTCTATCTGAAAAGGGTGCTATTTCACAGGTGTATACATAAGTAAAACTTCACTGAGCCCACAACTAGGCATGCCTACAGATAAACAGACTTTCAAAGGACTGCTCTGAGTTTTTCAAAAATTAAATTTGTCTCATGGGGTGGTAGAAGGTCACTGAATAGGGTGAGGCCATTTGGCATGTTGAATGGATTTATGCATTATGTGTAGTTTAAGTAGATGATCTTTAATGGCCTTCTCAATCCTGAGATACTCTGACCATTATTAACAGAGAATATCACCAACTATTAGCTTTCTACCCTAAAATGACCCCTTTTTGTGAGAGAAATTGTATTATGGTGGCATATAATAACATCATCAGAAAACTGTATTGCAGGTCAGAGTCCTCTATATTCACGGTGCTTTGAGGTAATAAAGATATGAATAAAAATACTAATCGTGAGAAAGATCTTACCAGCTGTGCAGCCAAGACACTTGAGAACTCACTATTCATGGCATAAGGCAGTGCTGTCTGCGCTCTTGAACCATAGGTAGTCTGGAACCGCTTCTTTACCTCATTCAGAAAATTAAAGGCCCGGGAACGTTCAAAATCCTGAAGAGAGACCAACACAGAGTTCAAAAGTCAACAAAAGATGACATAGATGATTAACAACCATAAGAACAGCTAACATTTACTGAGCAATGATTCCATGAGGAAGAACTAACACTGACCTCATTTTACAGATAAGGAAACAAAGTCTCGGGAAAGGTAACCAACTAGCCAAAGGTCAGATAACTGGTAAATGAATGAGCCGAGAGTCCACTCCAAACATGTTTGATTACTGCCCAGTGAAGATAACAGGAACTAGGTGAGCTTCTTGAGAGCAGGAATTGGGGTTTACTTCCTCCATATCTTTCACAGGATCTTTTAGATGGCCCAGCTCAAGGTGTTTAATAAACCCATAATAACAGTACAGTCATTCATAACAAAGATAACACTACGAAGATAAACTTTGAATTGATTTTTTTTCTAATAGTGGTGATACGTTTGAAAAGATCAAATGCTGTCCTCTTGTCTAGTCCCAGCTAGTCAAAAAGTATTTATATATTATATAAAGACTTACACACACACACACACACACACACACACACACACACACACACACACAAATTATAGCTCAATAAATGTAAGACTCAGCTCTGAGAAATTTAGTGATATTTCTCATCTACTCCAAGTCCTTTTACATCTGTCATTGCAGATACAGCTGGATTTTTCAAAATAATTTTTAAAAGTACTGTGAGACCAGGGATAAAAATCACGGTGGTGACCCCTGTGGCTGACTCTTATCTCCACTTCACCAGTTGATTAATCTAAGCCCAGGGTTCTTACACTGAGGTGAGTGGTCCCAATTCAAGGGGCCTATGTACTTAGAGAGAAAAAAAACTACACTGTTATTTTCACCAATCTTTAACTTATATTTCAATTTTGTATGTAGGGAACAAACCAGAGTAGTATCATTAGATGGTACCTGCCACCAACAGAAATCTTTTTTTTTCCATATACTATCAGTTCTAAACATCTCCAAATATTGTTATAATAAAATTATTATTAGTTGTTAGACCCATGGCTAGATCTTGTTAATGAATTCATAAAGAAGCACAGACCTTAAAACCTGTGAATACTGTCTTTCAATATTCTTGGTTTATAGTCATGTACTTTATTTCATATTTTAAAACATTCTGGGCGGGGCCCATGAATGTCAGAGGGGATCTGTGACACAATAAAAGCTAACACCCATGTCAATTCCATGCCTCTGGTCAGTGATCAATTTAGAAATAAGTATGTAGCCTAGTCCTAGCCAATGCTGCATGAAAGGAAGTCTGCTTTGAAAGCAGGGGGAGGGGAGAATGTGCTTTTGGGAAAAGCTTCCTCATTCCTACAATAAGAGACTGGAGAAAACCTAGTCCCCAGCCTCTGGGAACAAATAAGTAAGCGTGTGGCTACATGCAGGCATAGGGGGGATGGGGACTGTGTCTAGGGAGGAGCTGACACTAAGTCAGAGACAAAGGACCTTGAGAACATCAAGTTATTGAGCACAGAATTTACAAATACTCAAAAGCAACCTGCCAATGTGAACTACAGTCGATCATAGTGTCTTGTGATTTTTCCCAAAGTTCACATACATTAAAAAAAATTCACTAACTATTAATTGGAGGGATGAAATAATTTAATTTACTATTTCAGATAAATTTTGAGAATATCTGACACCAAAGGGTCATAATTATGAACACCAATTCTCACTACACAATAGGATAAATGTAGAAGTTGCAAGGAGTTAAGCTAAAACTCTACCAAAACCAAGCTGATTTGCATATAACCAGATATCAACTCTGCTTGACATTTGCTGCTTGCTCTATAGGATAAATGTAAAGTATAGAAAAAAATTTCCAGCTACGGACAGTTATATCCATGTCACCTTTACCCACCATAGATAATTAAGACTAAGAAATGACTCTATTAACAGTACACATAATTAAATAGCAATATGTCCTCAAGTTACTTACATCATCAGTAATACAAAGGTATATAATCCTGTCTTGGCAGATGTAATGAAACAAGTAACTGTAGGATAAAAGATATAAAAGTTATGTGGTTATGAGTAATATCGCTTTCTCTTTTGTCTTTTTCTATGTATAAGCAAAATCGTACTGCTAATGTGACCATATTATTTACAAATACTGTCTATTCTCTCTCTTCCCCTCCCTTATGCATACCTGTTTCTCTCAAGTCAAACTGATAGGAACAAATAAGAAACTAAAGAATGTCTCTACTCGCCCGGCCGGCGTGGCTCAGTGGTTGAGCATCGACCTATGAACCAGGAGATCATGGTTTGATTCCTGGTCAGGGCACATGCCCAGGTTGCAGCTCCATCCCCAGTGTGGGAAGTGAAGGAGGCAGCCGATCAATGATTCTCTCTCATCACTAATGTTTCTATCTCTCTCTCTCTCCCTTCCTCTCTGAAATCAATAAAAATATATTTAAAAAATAGAATGTCTCTACTCTAACTATATAGCACAACAGTGTGCACATTTATCCATTAAAATTGTAGCTGCACAAGCATAATTAGACTCTTAAGGCTTGGACAAGAGATGACATCTTAGGAGGAACACATAATTAAGGTTAACCCCCAATGAGCAATATGGTCTTCTTTGTTGCCTTCTCCTAAGATCTCAAAGCAAACACTTTCTTCTCCCAAATACTCAATGATAACATTTGCTTGGTATCTGCTTTGAAGTCAGTTGCTGGGCTGGGTGATGAGTAAACTCTTCAGTCCCTGCCTTCACAGAGATCACTGAAGGGAGTGACAGAGTGGCATGAACACCACTCTAGGATGAGGAGTTAAAGTTCAGTAGATGGTGCTCTGGGGACATAGAGGAGGTACCTAAGAGAGTTTGGCTAAGGGTAACAGGAAGGATATCCTGGAATAAGTAAGAGATGGCGAGGTGAAGAGCGAGCGAAGTGTTCCCGAGTGAGAGACCAACAAGCATTAAGGGCCTGGAGCACATAATGAGTTTAGGAAACTAAAATTTGTTCATCTGACTGGAGTATAGACTGTAAGGAAAAAATAAATGGACTGTACAGGTGAGGCTGGAGAAGGGAGCAAATACCAGGTTACCCAAGACTTTAAAACCTCACTATGCATTATCCTAAGAACAGTGAACAAGGGGAGAGTGTGATTAGATTTGCAATATAAAAGGATGTTTGGGCCCTGACCAGTGTGGCTCAGTTGGTGGCACATCCTCCTGGATCCTCAGTAGGGGGCATGCAGGAGGCAGCTCACTGATGTTCTTTTTCTCATCCATGTTTCTCTCTCTCTCTCCTTCTCCCTTCCCCTCTCTCTAAAATCAACACAAACATATATATTTTTAAAAAGGATGCTTTGAAGGAAATAAACTAAAGTACTATAGGCAGAAGAAGGGACAAAAAAGAAACAGAACAGAATCTGGTGATTGGCTATTGGAGGTGAGGCACAAGGATAACTCAACTTTGCCACCGAGATTTCTACCTTGGGCAAGTGGATAGACAGAAGTATCTGTTGAGTTATATTATTTTTAAAAATATATTTTTATTGATTTCAGAGAGGAATGGAGAGAAACATCAATGATGAAAGAGAATCATTGATCAGCTGCCTCCTGCACACCCCACACTAGGAATTGAGCCTACAACCTGGGCCTGTGCCCTGACCAGGAATCAAACTGTGACCTCCTGGTTCATAGGTTGATGCTCAACCACTGAGCCACACCGGCCGGGCTTGAGTTATATTATTAATGTTCACATAGAGGCTTCATATGAATTACCCGGAGGTATGGGAAGTCAAGCAAAATGTCTTCCTCCACTGCCTTCCACATTGCCCTACCCAGTGGCTCTGAAACATTTGCTAGTGGTAACCACTTCCTTTTTCTGGAAAGTGCTTTCTTTCTACTAGATTTCCTTGACAGCAGGCTGGCCTAGTTTATGTGGTCGTCTCTTTCCTTCTCTATTGATGTTTTCCAGCAGCCTCAGCCCCTGTTTTCCTCACACGCGCTCCCTGAAGGGCAGCACCCACTCTCATGTTTTGTTGTTGATGTTTGTTTTCGGCTACAGCAATTGTGATGACTACTCCTAAATCTGACCTCTCTCCTGAGTTCTAGGTCTGCATATGCTACTGTCTACTAGACATATCCAACCGGATGTCCAAAATGGAAGCCATCTTTTTCCCTACAAAATGTATTTCTCCTAAATCACACTTGGGAGTAACTTGGTGCAAAGATAACAAAAGGAAATGAGGGATGGTCCTTGCTATCAAGGGGACAGAGACAAAAGATAAAGATTGTAATTATAATATAGTAAGTATTACAATGTGAATAAACCCAGGATTCTACGGAGACGCACAAAAAGGGGGCACCTGACCCTAGCTGGTTTGGCTCAGTAGATAGAGCGTCGGCCTGTGGACTGAAGGGTCCCGGGTTCGATACAGGTCAAGGGCACATGCCTGGGTTGCGGCTCGATCCCCAGTAGGGGGTGTGCAGGAGGCAGCCGAACAATGATTCTCTCTCATCATTGATGTTTCTATCTCTCTCTCCTCCCTTCCTCTCTGAAATCAATAAAAAGGGGGGGGCACCTGGCCTGGCTTGGAGTTCAGGGGTTTCTAGAAGAAGCTGGGTGGAAGGGCAAAGGGTGGGAATGAGGGACATCTGTAATACTGTCAACAATAAAAAGAAAAGAAGACAGCCTGGCCGGTGTGGGTCAGTGGTTGAGCATCAACCTATGAACCAGGAGGTCGAAGTTCCATTCCCGGTCAGGGCACATGCCCAGGTTGCGGGTTCAATCCCCAGTGGGGGCCGTGCAGGAGGCAGCTGATCAATGATTCTCTCTCATCATTGATGTTTCTCTCCCTCCCTCTCCCTTCCTCTCAGAAATCAATAAAAATATATTTAAAAAAATATTACATATCTTATCTGTATCAAGTTTCACATATCCTAGAGCTCTATAACAAAGTCATTTTTACATCTCACATTTCCTTTTCTTTCTTTAAAATATTAAATCACTTCAAATGATAGAATAAAATAATTATAAGTTAAATTTATAATTAATAGAAATTGACATGTTCTAAGCTGGTAAAGGTTACTGTTCTGTCAGCTTATTCAAATGATCTGCTAAGAAGTTTCTTTCCTAGTTTTATGCTGTCCTGACTACAATAATAGAATTCACTTCTTTCACCCTTCACCCAGGCAGAGCAGAACTCACCTGCCATGTGAGTATGTTAGTTTGTTGTTTTCAGAAGGAATCTTAGCCAGAATCTGCTCCGTCACCTCCAGGAAGTTTCCTCCGCACCAAGCATGTTTGGCAAGGATGGTGGTTCCTCTGGCCACAACAGCAAAAAGAATGGCCATGGTTTTAATCTATCAAAGGGAAAAAAGGCACAAGACTTAGAATATTTCTTTGATATGATCTTTCAAAAATAACTTAATATCATTTACAACATCTGCCTGGAGACAGTATTGACCAAGACACTATAACATTAAATGTAACAGACTTAATTACAGGCTTAACAAGAGCATCAACCTATGAACCAGGAGGTCATGGTTTGATTCCTGGTCAGGGTACATGCCTGTGTTGCGGGCTCAATCCCTAGTAGGGGATGTGCAGGAGGCAGCCGATCAATGACTCTCTTTCATCACTGATGTCTCTCTTTCTCCCCCTTCCTCTCTAAAATCATTAAAAATATATTTTAAAAGGATCACCATCTTGTATAAGCTTACAACCTAAACCATGCTGATATGCATAAATATATAGATGCTAGAGGCCCAGTGCAGGAGATTCGTGTACTTGGGGGTCCCTCAGCCTGGCTTGTGCCCTCTCGCAGTCCGGGAGCCCTCAGGGGATGTCCGACTAACGGCTTAGGGGAGCAGGCCTAAGCCATCAGTTGGACAATTTGCATATCAGCCTTTTATTATATAGGATAGGATACCAAATAATACATATATGCAAATAATACACATATGTATGTGTATACAAGGTGATGTACATGTGATACACACACATATACCTTACATTGATGGACAGGTTGCATTTGTAAATTATACAGCACAAATTCATATCACCCTTTAAAAAGCGATGACCACAGATATCAAAGGGACATAAAGATGTCTTCATCCTTTAATGCAATAATATCATCCTGAAAATTTATCCTTGGGAAATAGTTCAGCACAAGTTAGACTCTAGATTCCTAAAGATACCTATTAACAATAATAATAGCCCATATTGTAAAACTTTAGACAATAAAGAGAAATAATAGCCCATATTTATTAGGTGCTTACTATGTGCTAGGCACCATTTTAAGCATTTTACCAATATTAGCTCATTTAGCCCTCCCATCAATGAAATTATGCACTATTATGAAACTTACATTAAAATGAAGAAACTGAACTATATATGACTTACATAATTTGCCCAAAATTACAGAGCTAGGAAGTGATAAGAGTTGGGATTTAAATCCAGGCAGTATGGCTCTAAAAGCCACAATCTTATCCCCTGTACTAGTATGTGTACTGCCTCTATTAGAAAGGCATTAATTACCCATAATAGAAACAAAGTGAAAACAAGCAACATTCCATAGGAGAGGAGTGCTTCTTTAAATTATCCTTCAGAAACAAAGCATTTCTAAAACAATGCAGCAGGCGTTTAAGAGTATTTTTCTCATATTGATAACTTTGTAGCACTGCTTTCCTCCATGACAGCCCAGTTTGTCTTATCTAATGCTATACACTTATAAAAAGGGATGCAAAAAATGCCTTCCTAGTCTTCAACTAACTCTTCAACCTAATGCTGTTTGTTATGTTCAGTTTCATCCCATAAGCCAGTGCTTCTCACACTGCAGTGAATGAGTCATCTTAGGTGGCAGAGTAAGCGTCACTTGTTAAAATTTCATATTCTTGGCAGTATCCCCTGCAATTCTGATTCAGTAGGCCTGATGCGGGGCCTCGAATATGTGTCTAATACAAGCCTGCCTGGATGCAGGTGATTCATACAGCCGCATTTTGTGAAACACAGCAACAGATAGAAAGTGCTTGACGTCAGGGCCGACCCCCTGATTCCTTCTTGGAATCCTAGCCCCAAAGGATAGCACACAGACAGAGGTGCTCTTCTGTCTCTTGAACTTAACTCTTCTCATTCCACTCTCTAAATGAGGGTGTTCCCCAGAGTTATGTCCTCGGCCATCTTCTTTCTGGATTTCTCCTTATAAGATGGAGCAAGTTATAATGTCTCAATCACTTTTCATGTTATATCCCTCAATTCTAAAAACCTCAACTGGCCCTAGCCCATTTGGCTCAGTGGACAGAGCGCCAGCCCGTGGACTGATGGATTCCGGGTTCAATTCTGGTCAAGGGCACATACCTCTCCTGCAGGCTCAACCTCTAGCCCTGGTCGGGGCGCATGTGGGAGGCAACCAATGGATATGTCCCTCTCACATCAATGTCTCTCTTTCTGTATCACTCCCCGTCCCTTCCACTCTTTCTAAAAATCACTGGGAAAATATCCTTGGGAGAGAATTAACAACAGGAAAATAAATAAAAATTAAAGCAGTGTTTCTGGGGAAAAAAAGTTTAAAAAAATAAAAATCTCAACTGACCCTGTAACATTCCCCAAATATTACTCCATTTTAAAAATCATCATCTACACACTCTCTATGCTTCTATACCTCCTTTGAACTCTCCAACTTACTATATTCTGGCTTTTGTCCTCAACACTCCATAAAACCGTGCTTGCTAAGATCACCAACTGCCTCTCTGTTGCAAAATTGAGTGGTAACTTCTCTATTCTCACTTCACTTGACCTCCCAGAACGGTCAACACCGTGGACTAAACCCTCTTTCTTGAAATTCTCCTACATGTCTGGTTCTCTGGTCATCTTGCTAGTCCTCCTCCTCTAGTTTACCTCTAAATGTTGAATTTCCACAGGGATTGGTTCTGCACTCTTATCCCTGGATGAGCTGACCTAGACCTGCCATTTATTTGCTGAAGACACATTGCCTGCAAGAAACAAAACAGTCCTGGCTGGTGTGGCTCAGTTGGTTGAGCGTTGTCCCATACACCAAAAGGTGGCAGTTGGATTCCCAATCAGGGTGCATACCTAGGTTGCGGGTTTGATCTAAGGTCGAGGCGTGTGCGGGGAGCGGGGGGTAGGGGGGCAACCAATCAATTTCTCTCTCTCTCTAAAAAAAATTTTTTTTTAAGAAACAAAACGAAGCAGAAAAAAGCAAAGGCACACCAAAATTGAGGGAAAACCAAAGATAAAACCCAAGATGCAACAAATAGCTGAGGGAAAGGTAGATGAACAGGGATCCACAAAGAAGACTGGGGCCCAGTCCATGTGGCTCAGTGGTTAAGCATCAACCTATGAACCAGGAGGTCCTGGTTCGATTCCTGGTCAGGCACGTGGCTGGATTATGGGTTCGGTCCTCAGTGTGGGGCATGCAGGAGGCAGTCGATCAATGATTCTCTCTCATCATTGATGTTTCTACCTCTCTCTCCCTCTCTGAAATACATACATACATACACATACATACATATGTACATACGACTAGGAAAGTGAAAGGAAAGCCAGAAGAACGTGGTGGCCTGGAAGCCAAAGGGAAAGGAAGCTTCAAGAAGGACAAGTGTCAGCTCCTAGCTGTGTTCACTGATGCACAGTATGATGTCTCTAAAACAGTCAATGAACTTTTATAAGGAAGGAGGTCACTGGTTAGGGTCAAAGAGACACGCCATGGAGTGGAACAAAAACACAAAGAGAAACAGAGATGAAGAATCGTATGGTTCCTGACACACAGAGATGGAAAAGTAGCAGCCTCAGTCCCTTAGCAGCTGGAAGAACACTGAGTTTGGCAACTATACAAAAACATCCAGTGTCAGTGGACCCTAAGTTCATTATGAACTGACATGAGGTAATTGCTTAAAAAGCATATGTAATCTTAAATTACATTAAGAGACAGGGTATCTTGATCTCTTTAAGTACTACTGCCATTGTACTCTGTGGTTGTTAGAACACAAGTGGAATACTGAGTTCAGTTCTGGGTATAGTATTTCAAGATTGCACGGAAGGGCAACAGTATGGGCGAGAGACCTGGAGATTGTATCACTTCAGAATGGCCAGAGGAACTAGAAATCTTTCACAAGAAAAAGAGAAGACTTAGAGCAGTGGTTCTCAACCTTCCTAATGCCGCGACCCTTTAATACAGTTCCTCATGTTGTGGTGACCCCCAACCATAAAATTATTTTCGTTGCTACTTCATAACTGTAATGTTGCTACTGTTATGAATCGTCATGTAAATATCTGATATGCAGGATGTATTTTCATTGTTACACATTGAACATAATTAAAGCATAGTGATTAATCACAAAAACAATATGTAATTATATATGTGTTTTCCGATGGTCTTAGGCGACCCCTGTGAAAGGGTCTTTCGACCCCCAAAGGGGTCGTGACCCACAGGTTGAGAACCGCCTGACTTAGAGGGAATATGACAACAGTCTTCGAGTTGATATAAAGTACAGTCACCTGGAACAGGGTGCGTTACTCGGATTATTAACTAAGAACAATGGATATCAGTTACAGGGAAGCAGTGTTTTATTCAATAAAAGCAGTCCTCAATTTAAAAATGCCTGACTGCTAAACACTGAGTACATAGCAACAAACTTTACTTTCCTCTCACATGTCACTAATAGGAATTTCTTACTCTCTCCTATACTGCTAAAAACCCCACCTATCACCCGGCCAGTGTGTCTCAGTAGTTGAGCATTGACCTATGAACCAGGAGCTCATGGTTCGATTCCCGATCAGGGCACATGCCCAGGTTGCGGGCTCAATCCCCAGTGTGGGGCGTGCAAAAGGCAGCCAATCCATGATTCTCTCTCATCATTGATGTTTCTGTCTCTCTCCCTCTCCCTTCCTCTCTGAAATCAATAAAAATAAATTAAAAAAAAACCACCTATCATCCAGTCTCACCTGCCCCCACTGTAATCCCTTGCAATATAATCCGTAATGTCTGAATGAGTATTGGGATCATAGAAACAACTGTGACAGCAATAATACTGAATTTGAAATCAGAAAACCTGGCTCTGCTAATTATCAGCAGTTAGTGAATGTCCAATACACCATAGAGTGCTATTCAAATATATTTAAGAAGAAAAAGAATGAAAAGATAAGCCAGAGAGAGAAAAGAAGGAAAAAAAGATAATCATATATAATAAAAGCCTAATATGCAAATTGACTGGATAGCAGAACAACCGGTGGAATGACCAGTCACTTTGATATGCACTGACCACTAGGGGGCAGATGTTCAATGCAGGAGCTGCCCCCAGCCCGTAGGCCCCAGGCCAGCCAAGGCGGGTGCCAGTGACCA